TTCTGTGAGGTTCAAGTGTGTTGATTGGTGGATGTCCTGGTCCATCTGTTGGAGTGAATAGGGTTGTTCTAAGTGTTGTGTGGTGTCTTATCCAGTGTTCACCTTGTCTTTCCCAGTAGTCTTGGTTGTCCTCCTGTGCTGTGAGTGGTCTGTGGATTGTCTCCTTTGGTTGTGTGGTGTCAAGATTTGTAGAAGGTGCTGCTTTAGGTCTCCATATCTTTTGTGGTGCTCGTAGTTGGATCTTTGATCTGGTTGGTGGTGTGTCCATTAGCCGTTGTGGTTGTGAGCTCTGCCTTGTTGGTGTTGTCTTTGATGTTGCTCTGCGTGTAGGTGTTATCTTTCTTCTGAATCTGGTTTCTCCAGTCCAGTTGTCACCTTCTAGTCTTCGTTGTAGTTCTTGCTTGGAAAGTTGTGTTGGGTTCTCTTGCAGTTGTTCTTGCTCTTGCCCTTGTCTGTTGATGATGGTTAGTCGCCAATCATCTAGTTCTCCTTCAGGTATTGGGCAACCGCTGTTGTGTGGTGTGAATAATGCTTTGCGTGGTCGTTTGTGTACTCTGGCGTAGTCACCATCAAGTTTCCAGTAGTCAGTGTTTCCACCAAGGATCTGTCGTAGTCCTTGGTCTGTGTGGGTGAGTGGTGCAATTTGTTCTTGTTGTTGTACTGTTTTCTCTGTAGGTTGAATCACAGCAATGGATTTTCCATTGTCTGTAGTCATTGGGTAGATGTCGAATCCTGTAGGGATGTCGATCTTCTCTGCTCGTAGGTAGAAAAGTCCTGAGTGTCTTATGAGGTGTGCTTGTTGTTGTCCATGTGTGATGGTGCAGTGTCGTGGAGTGAAGTCAAGTCCATATCCTCTATCAAGTAGTCTTGATGCACTGAGGATTGGATACTTCACATCACAAACGTAGTAGGGTATCATGATCCTGAAGTTGTCCTGCTTGTAGGGAACGTACTTGATGCCGTAGACAGGAATCTTCTTGTTTGTAACCGTGTAGAGTTGTGGAACCGATTCTCCACAAGGTCGTAGCGGTAGGTCTGGTGCGTAGTCCTTCGGGCAAACATGTGTAGATGCTCCTGAGTCGATCAACAGGTGGTGGTATGACTTGAAGTTGGAGTACATGATGTAGTGTGTGATAGTGTCCTCAATCTTCTTGTTCCTTTGTTGTTGTCTTGCTGCTGCTATGTCAAAGTGTGGCTGTGTGTTGTCTTCTTGTAGGAATTGTTGAAAGCTCTTGCTGTGGTCGTTCCATGATGTTGTGTGTGTTGTTCTCTTGCCAAGTAGTGATTTGGATTTGTGCTTGTGTAGTCGTGAGTTTGCTTGTCTGATGTGTCCAATGGTGAGGTGTGACTCGTTGATGCCTCCAATGTAGTTTGCTGTGTCCTCATAGCTGTTGTCATTCCAATCCCAGCTGTTGTCATAGTCGTAGTCGTTCCAGTTCTCCTCCATGTAGTTCACCTCGTGTTGTCCTTCTTCTCCTTCGTAGTACCAGTCCCAGGTGTCGTGCACATCCTGAGGTAGTTCTTCATTGTTGTCATGATCTGCTTGTTCATTTTCTATTGGATGTAGTTCTTCTCCTTCTCCTATGTGCCATACTGGCACTCTGCAGTCTTGTGCCCAGTGGCCGGGCTTGCCACATCGATGGCATGTTGTGTAGTTGTTGTTTCCTTTCCCTTTTGATTTGCTGTAGTTTCCTTGGCCTTTGTAGCCTTTGCTTGATCCATATCCTTTGGATCCTGAGTAGCCTTTTCCTTTGCTCTTGTTGTATCCTCCTTTGTTGTAGTTTCCTTTGCTGCCTTTGTCGAATCCTTTGTAGTGGCTTTTGCTTCTGTACTTGCCTTTTCCTTTGTTTCCTTTGTAGTGTCCTTTGCCTCCATATTTGCCTTTGCCTTTGTAGTTTCTTCCTTTTCTCCAAATGTTGTCCACGTCCATTGGTGCTGTTCCACCATTGTAGTTTGTGCCAACTGCTGAGCTCGCTCTTGAGAATGCAGATATGGTTTTGTAGTAGCCCAGGATCACAACTCTGATCTCGTTGTAGTTCGTGATCTGTCCAGCGCGTAGTTGGAGATGTTGTTGAAGTGCTCCTTTAGTCTTGTTGAGTAGTATTGCAATCTTCACTCCATCTGGTAGTGCTGTGCCGTTGTCTTTCTCGTAGCGGTTGATGTCATACTCCCACTGTAGGAATTGTTCTTCAAATTGTGCTTCATTGAATGTAGGTTCCAGTAGTTTGGTGAGGTAGCCAACACTGCGTGTTCCTACTGGTAGGCTGAACCTGTTGTGCAAAAGCCGTAGTGTTTCACATCCATTGGCATTGTAGCGGTTTTGTCTGACCACTGTAGCTGCTGCACCTTGGCAGATGTTGATGAGGATGTAGTGTAGATCTCGTGAGAGGTCTACTGCTTTTGCTGCCTGTGTAGGGTCGCGTATGTGGGCTCTGATGTCTGCATCTTCAATTTGTCTTGTAGCTGCTTGTGCTAGTTGTAGCACCATGTCGAAGTCTCGGTCGATGAGTCCGAGGTATGCTTGTAGTTTGAACAGCCACTCTTCGTACTGTGAGTAGTCACCAGTGAAGAACGGTGGTGGCAGTTTGTATTTGTGTAGCCTTTGGACGTCTTCCTGCTCCTGTGTTGTTCCCGTAGTTGTGGCTCCTATTGTCTCCTCTGCTGTGGGCCCGTTGTCTGCTCCTGTAGTTGGTTGTGCTGATGGAGCTCCCCTATGTTTAGGATCTCAGCTCCGCTACCACGTTAAAATACGTTGGTACTTTACTGCTAGTGCAAGTGTTGTTTCTGTTGTCACAAACACAAATGTAGTTAGCCAGCATGCACTCTTTTCCTGGTAGACTCAAGGCCTGCAGTCGGGTAGTGTACATCATGCATGCACAAGTGACAAGTAGTGCAACATGATTTTTGACATTTTTATTTTCTCTCTCTCTCTCTCTCTCTCTCTCCTTTTCACGTTTCCCACGATGTCCTGGTCATGTCCCTTCCATTCCTTTCAACTCCCCCTTCATGTCCCTGTCATTTTCTCGGTATGTCCGCTTCGTTTTCCACGCATGTCCCGTTCTTTCGTTGCGAGTCAGTTCCCTACATCTCCCGTCGTGCCGATTGGCTGCCTTGTCCTTTGTTTCCCTTTCATTCCCCCTGCGCTCCCCTTGTTTCTATTTCTGTCCCTTTCATGTCCCTTTCAGTTCCCCTTTGTTTTCCTTTCATTTCCCGTTGCTTTCATGTCGACTTCCTATTTACTCCCCTTATTTCCTTGCACTTCCTTGCAATTCCCCTGTGCTCCCCAGCATTTCCCGCAAAAAAACGCTGTTTTTCCAGCGTTTTCGCAAAAAGGACGTCCAACAACACAGAGTTTTTCCAGATTTTCGGCAAAAAGAGAAAGAGCTGGCAGGCGGATTCGAGCCTGGGACCCCTGTTTGGCGACACCGGCTCCCCGAAGACTACGTGGAACGTCATCAAATTACCGCGCGGTACGTGGGGGACCCCCCCCCCCCCCCATTCCCTACGTATCAGACGTCGGGGCCGGGGGTTAGGCCGAGCACGGCGGACTTTTAGTGGTTTAATGAAAAACCCATTCGTTGGAAGGTTAAAGTCCTAACATCCAAGCAAAGTGCACCAAAGTTGAGGCGGCAACACTAACTTTCCGCAAAATTGTGGTAGTCAACGTCTAGGATGTCAAGGATGACACACACGAAACCTCGTTGAGGCAGCCAAAGGCTCAGAGCCTTTTGTGACAAACCAAGCCAAACACGCGAAGACGCGTCGGGACGTCAATCTTGCTGGTGCGATAGGTAGGGAATGAAGGAATGAAACCAGGGGTCTCCTTAAAGGAAACTACAAGGGATGGTTTGTAAGGGTCATTCCCTCATTCCCTGCTGAGCACCAGCAAGCAATAGCTTCACCTAACAATGCAAAGCGAATCAACGCTTGCCGTAAGAGGGGCGAATTGTGCCGTGCTGAGCCCTCTGCGGCCAGAAGTAGCGTCCTTCATGTGTTTGCTCAGCCAGCAGACACGAAAAGACAGCACAACCCACGATGCAGCTCTATTCTCACCAAATACGGACTTCCGCACCCTTGGAGACCAACTTCAACTCGTTTTCCCTTTTGTTGTACTTGAGGCAAAATCCAGAAGAAAAACGTCTAAAAACAACTCTTCCACCCCTCAAGCTCTCCTTTTCCGCAAAGCAACCGAGTGAAGAAAGAACGCCTCTTGATGAAGCGTTTGTCGCAGGCGCCACCCCTGTCAGTAAGGCTCTAACGGCACCTCCGTCTAAATTTCCACAAAGGGTCAGAAAAAACAAAAGCTGTAGTGGTTGATTCCCCATTCTTTTCAGCCATCGTTCTTTTCACAAACCAGCCATTTCCCGAGGGTTTTGGTGGCTTTCTAGCAAGAAGGGTCCCTGGAAAGAATGGAGATGGAAGTTCGCCCTAGGAAAGCAGGGAGTCGGGTTGCTCGAAGCTTTCTGCCCAACTTATGGGAGGGGACTGGTATGGCAGGGGCTTTGGTCGCCCCCTAAGCCCGACTTGGCGCCAAGACGCCCGGATCTGAGCAACCCCGGCTTCCCCCCCCCCAGAAAGTCTGCACGAGTTTTAGCTGATGAATAGGACACCCCTAAAAACCCTGTGGGACCCCCTTCTTTTGGCTTCCACAAATTCAGTGTCCGAGTTTGCAACAAATTTGGACAGGAAGAATCCTCAAGGCTCATCTTTTTTTTTGAGTTGGTACCCGTTGTTTGGTTGTTTTTCAGGCTTGGATTCCTGGATTCGGACATCTTTTCGCCCGAAATAAATGGGCTCCAAACTGGACAAACGTGGAGGGAAGCGGAGGCTGGGGGGCTTCACTGTTGTTGGCAAGTTGTTTTTAACAACTTGTGTGTTTATGTTTTTGTTTCTTCTTTTTTCGCAATATTTCTTGTGGCTTTTTGGGTTCTGTTCATCTGTAGTGTTTGGGGCTGCTACCAAGCAGTCCGTTTTTTTTTTGCAAGCCCATGCCGTGTCAGGCGGGTCCTGGGCGCCCACGCGAAGGCGCAGATGCCCTCGGACGGGATTTGATTTTTCGCACTCGAAAAGGATCCCGGTTGTCGGTGGGGGCATCGAGCGGTCGTGTTGAGCGTCGTCGTTTTTTTCTTTTTATTTTTTGATAATATTCATTTATTCATTATTATTACTATTTGTTTGGGGGGGGGGGTCAGGCGGGTTTCGAGGTAGTTCTCCAGGAATCGCGATGATCTCGCGGTCGTTCTGACATCCTCATGTAGAAATGAATGATCCTCTCAAGAGCCAGCTTTACTATAGGGTGCAAGTAGTCCAATCTTATCCGTTGTTCCACCAAAGAGGCATTCCTGCCACGCGTCGACCGATTTGTTGCAATGTGGGTTCTTCAAGTCACCAGGGAGGGCCTTTGAAAATGCCAAGTGCGGTGGCTGTTGCCTCACTTCCGTTTTGGACTTTCGCCACGTTTTGGGTTTGGACCATTTCAGTGGCCCAGGTTGTGCTTTTGCACCGTGTCTCGGGGTTCAGGGGATGCATATGCACGTCTAGAATTACGCTCGTACACATGGCTACGACACGCGCATCCATGCTGATCAGGGTTTTGGGATCACTCGGGGTTTACCCCCACTTCTGTGATACAAGGGAGTTGTTGGGAGGCCCATGTTGTTGTGTCACAGAAGTGGATTCCGTTTCCCACAGAACTAGTGCTGGCAAACGTGTATGACATCACATCGCCGCAGGTTGTGCTTCAGTTGGATCGCGCTGTCCACTTCGCTCAAGTACGGTCACAGCTTTTTCTGTGTCACTAGGGATGGTCTATTGGGGAACTTCTATTTTTCCCCTGTTGGTTTTAGAGGTAATCCATCACTACTGGACATACTGTGGATGGACGGAATCCTGCACCACCTAACAGGGCAGGGATGATTCCCCTTTAAATACCGACAAACAGTGGTTTCCCATTTGTATTTTTCCTGGGGGCGAAAACGCAAATGGAGGCAACCGTTTCTATGGAGGGAGCGTTGTGCTTCCTCCGTTCGCCATTTCGGAGGCTGGCGAACGAGACCCAGGAGATGTCGGCAAGCCAAGTGGGCGGGTGGAAATCCAACGGGATCCCAGAGACGGGGTTGAGACCGAAAGGATTCAACGAGGGGCTTAGCAAAAGTATCGGAAACTTGCTTCGAACCCACTTATTCCATGTAAGCTTGTTTTCTTTAAACAAGGTACTTGCCTGCTTGCTTTGAACAAGTATTAATGTATGCTGCTGCTGTTTTTTGTCATGAAGGGACCGGTTGTACCGTTGTTTCTGCATGAGCAAGGAACGCAAATTATGTACATATCCCTGGCCATTTCTCAGCAGGTCGTAACAAGGACCTGCCAATCCCATCCATGGCTTGGAATTCGGGTGGTTGCCTTGCATTGCTTGCGCCGCTCCCAGTTGGCAAGCAAACAAGTCGCCTTGGGGATTATGATGAAAGGCGTGTGTGACACTCTGGTATCCTTCACACGGCTCCCCTGAATCGTGGCAACAGGCGCTGCAACTTTATCACGGAATGATGGTATGGTGTAGAGACTTCACGCCCATCCCATTCTCATCTTTGAAAGATCATAGACTTCGCAACACGTCCCAGGCTTTCTGGGCTATTTGGGCAGGCTGAGCCACTTCGTTAAAGAGAACTTCAAGCAGAACGCCTTGTGATGCATCAAACTTTGAAGCAGTTTTCCTGGTGGTTTCCCAAAACCAAGAAAAAAAGGTACCCCCAAAAAAGGACATACCCAAATTGGGATGTGCCGCAAGAATCAGACGCAACACTCTAAACGGGGCCTTTTTGAACAGGTGAGACGTGCGCACGCCAAGGTCGGTCACAACTTTTCGGCTTTGAACCGCCCAACCCCATAGGCTCATAGGTGTCCTTTTTGGTTGGCTTGGTTGAACGCTAGAGGGCCCAGGTTTACCTGATGGTTCAATCATCTACCAGGGCAATCTAGTTTCCTCAAAGGACACCATTTTTCCCAACCAGCCAATGTACATTTGCCCTGGGGAGCTTCGACCTAACAATTTGGGTTTCAAGTATCCCACCACCCCCCCCCTTCTACTTATTGAACCGGCCCTCATGCGTGAGATCTCCCACGGGCTCGCTCCCGGCAGGGCCTGAGCTTCGGTGCATGTTGCCAACGGCTGTTAGGACTTGAGAACTTTTTGCCAACGAATTTGGGTTTTCCATTAAATGGGTTTTCCGAATTAAACCACCAAAAGTAAAAAAAAAAAAACCTTTTAGCAGGGGAGCAGAGTTCGCAGCCGAGAGGGGATTGGCCAGCCGGTTCGCTCAGGGATCGCCGGCTCTCCTTGATGCAGCCACCCTTGCTGCCGCCTGGCCGGATGAAATCGAGCCGGCTGGGTTGCGCGGAAGTTGTTTGTTGTTTTTTTTTTTTAGAAGTTGATAATCTCGGGGAATTCATTTTGATGCCGGTAATTGGACTTTTTGTTGATCTCTTTTTGTTAGTATTTAAGTTACCTTATCGTGATTGGATTACTCCTGGGTCGCAGTGTCCTCTTTAAACCACCAAGAGGGCAATGAGGTACCCACGTTCGCAAGCTTCTGAGTGATTGGGGTAACGGTTGTTATTGTTATTTTGATGATGGTGGTGGTGGTGGTGGTGGTGGCAGCGGTGGTGATGATGAGGATGAGGGTGGTGGCGGGGTGGTGGTGGTGATGTTGGTGCTGGTGCAGGTGAAGATGCAGGTGGTGGCTTTGCAGAATTCCTTTACACTTGCCGCTTTCACTCCTCTCTCATGGGGGCTGGGGGGGAGGGAGGGGGTGGGGGGGGGAGCCCCTTTAAGCCTTAATAAGGCTCCCTCCCCCTTCCCCCCTCCCTCGCCCCAGCCCCCCATGACTCTCGACAAGCTCAAGTCAACAAGCAACGACCTTCAACGATCACAGTCAACACGCATTGTCAGCAAGTTGCTTGAAGTGAAAGGCCACTCGCCAAGGTGATCCTCGTAAAGATACATGAGCAACTGTCTATGGGGTGTCATTTTTGTGAGGGTACTCTGTCTTGGTTCCTTGACAGGGAACCAATAGTAAAACCACTCATGTTGGAGGTTCCCCCATGTTAAGACACTCACCAAAACACCACGAGGAAACGGAGGTTACTCACCAAAATCCAATTTCCTTGGGACACACAATGGGGCTCACAACGGTTGATTCAACTGGAGCCTCTCGCTAGCGAGTGTGGTTCACTCTGAATTGCGCTTCCACATGACAGCCGTATAAACTATGTATATGCATATTTAGCGGAGACATCGGCAGTTTCCTTTGTTCGGCATTCTGCTTGTATCTGGGCACACAGATGGCAGTCATCGGAACACGCGAAGACTTCTGAGCCTTTGGAGGGGCTTTGTACTGTAGCTGTCCCACCCGGGGTATTCTGCTCCTTATTGTTTGTTGTTGGCTTGAGTGTATTCTAGCAGGGCGTAAATATGACATTCCGTCCATTTGCTTCGGAATATGGTGGGCTGAAGTGTATTCTATGACATGCTTCTCAAGAACATTTTGTATTTTCCTCTGTTGGTTTAAATGGAATCTATCACTACTGGACATACTGTGGATGGACGGAATCCTGCACCACCTAAGAGGCCTTGGAGGGATGATTCCCCTTTAAATACCAACAAACAGTGGTTTCCCATGGTTTCCAACTGGTGCAGGATTTTGTCCATCCACAGTATTATCGATTTTCCCCGGGGGCGAAACCACCCACATGGAAGCTCATCGGAAACTGCTCAGGTCGTCACTTCCAAAGGAGTCGGAGGATGAGATTAATATTTTCAGGCCGAAGACGGTGGTCTCCGCAAACAGTCAGATTTGTTTGGCTTCTGTGTGAAGGGGACTGGGGTTTTCAGTCATTTTGAGTGTTTTTCGGTAGTGATGCTGTTTTGACCACTACCAAAGGCGATGCTTTTGTTTTCTTTTGCCAAGTTGCCCAGTCTCTGACCCTGGCTATGCAGAGTTGGATTCCGTGGGCTGCAGTTTTTTTCCATGCGTGGATTTTGAATGGGGAGCCACCTACGTAGTTGGTGGACAGAAACTCTCAGCTAGCTGACGTCCATCAAAGGCTTCAGAACCCATGTGTGTGACGTGTAGCAGCCGCATTTCTTGGAGGTGGACAAAAACGGCCCGAGACATGGCGAGAGCGTCACATTCAGTCGAGAGATGGCGATTGCTTGTGATCAGCCTCCTTGGGTGGATGTCAACCCCTGGGAGTTGTGGGGCTCGGGTTTGTTGAGCCCCAAATGGGTTCATCGTGACCCTTCGAACTGGACTGGTTTGCCTTTTTTGTTTTCCTTGAACACCCAGCAGTCCTTGTCTCAAGGGTAGCCCGAAAAGGGACCCCCCCCCTTCCCATTGCCATTTGTGTTTTTTGGTAGTTTTCTTTGGTTTCCCCCACAAAAGTTTAACAACTCCAACCCATGCAGGGAGCATTAATGAATCTCGAACGGATTCCGAGAAAGAAGGAAGCCTGACGGGCGGGTTTCCTCTTTTCAGGGGTGGAACCCTGTTTTGGTAGCAGTCTTGTTTTGAGGGTTGGTGTCTTTTTTTGGAGTGAATAACCCCAAAGAATTCAATAGGGTACCAACATTTTGAGTCAAGCCCAACTATGCATCGCCTATAGAAATGGCGACGCGTTCATTGAACATCCAACGCCGGGTCCAAATTCGAGGCTATAGAACTGAACTCTGGCTGGTGCCTGATCTCTGGTTTGAGCTTGGATGAAGTCCTTTCGGCCAAAGGTCGCAAAGGAAGATTTCATTGACAGGTGTCCCTGAACTTCCTTGGATGTTGAATCAATGTCAGGTAAATAGGTTTAATCAGGGAAACCAACTAGCAGGGATACGGGGGGGAACCAGGGATACGGGAGGATTCCCCCTGAATGCACCTTGACTAAGTTTGATATGGGACATGGCGCCAAGGGAATCCTTTCATATCCCCGCTCCCTCCGTATCCCCGCTTGTTCGTTTGTCCAAGTTTATTACCATGGTCATACCTGGTGTAGCTGGGGTGATTTTCCCCTGACTTGCTAAGTGGGTTGAACCTCCAAGTCTCTTTGGACTTCCAGTTTGGCTCCAACCCCGAAACCCCGAAACCCCGAACCCCCGGCCCGGTCTGAAATCGAGGCCGAAGCTCCGACAAACACGACTGGAGCCCTCCCGGAGTTCCACTTGAAACTTTCTGGGCGTGGACCATCAAAACTTTTATGTTTTTTTTTTTTTTGCGTGTGTTTTTTTTTTTTCATAGGCCCTGTACAGCTTGTAGTCTCACTTTAGCCTTTAGCGCATGACTTTGTTTCACACAAGGTACATGTCCTTTACTTGGGGATACATCAAAAGTTCGGCTACGCTTCCTCCAAGTAACAGGAGGTACCTGTGGGGAGGTACCTGGAAGATCAAACTCCTTTTGAAGCAAAAGGACCCCCTGTCAGTTGCCATGTCAGTGGGAGGGAGGGTACGTTTTTTGGCCCATCGGAAGTGGGATGAGCGCGGGAACGCGCGCCAGGATGTACATGTACCCCGGCGAGAGCATGGCGGAGAGCAGCGAGCGATTGCAGTACTTCCGGACCCGGAACTGGCTGGATGAGGAGGGGTTGAGTGCGGGAAGGGCTGGCCTGGCCAGAGATATGGGTCTGCCGCTTTTTTTGGAGTTGGCGAGTTGGTACCCTTTGTTGGTGGTTTGAAAGTGAAACCACACGTTTTGGGTGTCCCCTCAAACATGGTAGCCCTGCCCTGATGAAGAGACAGTTGGTGTGCCCAATGCTATCACTTTGGGTTCAGAAGGCGAATATTGACTCAAAGGGCGAAGCCCCAGAAATAGGTTTCTTTTGTTGAACACACCCCAATTTGAGGTGGGTAAGCAGTTGGCCTTATACGACTTGGGCCGTTCCCTGTCTGGAAGATCCATGTGCATGTGGCCGTGCATCCCGCCATTTGCTGCTTGAATGTTTCTCGGATCCTGATTTCTTTCAGGATTTTGTTGCTACCGTTCATCAGGAATGACATGAAGAAGGCTCAGTTGTTCGCCATGACTTGGCGGTATACTTGCGGTACATCAAACAGGGTCCTTGTACATGTACATGTACACTCATATCTACATACATACATCTGGTATATGTATATATTATACATATACACAAGAATACATATACACCATATATATATAATATACACATGTATCTCATTCTGAGAGGATCAACGGCGTCTTAAAAAGAAAAAAAAACACACACACACTGAGATACATGTGAGATACATGTGTATATTATACATATATATATATATATCAAACAGGTGCAATGTGTCGATCGCAGTTCGAACGCCAGGACTCTCAGGTGCTCGCGCTACGCCCCTCCGGGGGGCTTCCGGGGCTTGGGGGGGTGTCTCGAATGGGTCTGTGTTGACTGTTGGGGCACCCCCAAAATCGCGGCCTCGCCGTTGTCCCCCCAAAAAATATACATCAAAAATCAAAAGTCCTTAAAAAAACAAAGAAAACAAACCAAAATCAAAAGGGTAACCCGCCAAAAAATAAAAACAACAACCAAAATCAAAAGGGTAGCCTGAAAAAAAGAAAGAGGCACGCCCAGACATGTTCGACTTGGAAGCTTGAAGGTGTGAGTTTCGGGGTGCTTGTTGGAGTTCGGGATTTGAAGAACTGGGTCTGATCGCTTCGTTCGCCACCTTGGGAGAGGTTCGCCTTGGATCCAAATGTGGCCACTTTCCGTAGGCCTGCACCGCAAGGGCCTCTGACTCGCTGGTCACAGATGTTGGTTTGGGCTGGTTGCAACCAGAGGTGCCTTGGTCAAAACGACACCGGTTTTCCTGGTGCCGGTCATGGACTTCCAAGCATGGTGAGGATTCCTGGAGAACAATGATGCCCACGGCAGCTTTGACCATGGCGCATGGGTTCATGCCATGTGGCTGTGGTTGTCAAAACCGTTTTGGGATCCCATTTCGGGTGAATTCGCCACCCATTTTAGGCTTCCCATTTTAGTGGTTGGATTGGGATGTTCACTGGGGGCTAACCGATTTGGGTTTTTGACCCATGGCCATGTATCGCTGTCTGCGAGTTGCTCGTTTTACTCATGAGGAATCCATCCATGTTGTCCCTGTGGAACACTTTGTTTGTTCAGAAAGCCTGAAGACTGAGAGACAATTGCCGGACTCCAAAAACAACGATGCTTGGCAAAGAGTAGCTGGCTCATGTTTTTTTAGGGGGCAATTCTGGGGGGAAATTCTGGTTTTCCTTTCCGTTTTAATTACAACCCCCCCCAAAAAAAAAGAAGAAGAAGAAAAAGAAGACGAGCCGCCCGAGGGCTTTCTTTTTTTCCCTCAGGGCCCAGCCGAGGTCTGTACATGCTGAACTCTGAACTGGGGCAGCCGAACCTCGAGCAGGCCAGTCCTTCGCCCCCACAAAACGACTGTCGTGGCACCGTCTTTCACAGGGCTCGTTAAAAGAAAATCATTTTGCTTTTCCATTTGAAACATGTTGCTTTTTCAACACCAAAATAAAGTTGGAAACCACCATTTACAAGTTGCAATGTTCAGGTGTATAATGCAAGGATCCCTGTTTCAGCGTTTTGTTTTGTTTTTTGCGCAGGAAATGGATCTTCGGGGTCCCGGAGGTGCTGTGGACGGGACGGTTGCGAAATCCCATACGCCGCACCACGAAAGGAAACCATGGTTGGTTCACCAGAACGTTTGTCGGTACCTGCAGGGGAATTTTCCTTCCTTGTTTTTTAGGCGGTGCGAGATGGAGGCATCCACCCAGCCTGGACAACTTCCCCAGAATTAGTTCCCCTCCTTATCTTTTTGCTTTTTGGGGTCCCCGTTGTTTTGCACTAACCAGCCAAAAAACAAATGCTGGGGTTCTAGTTCCAGCCAAGACAAGTGGCTGGGCGCAGGATCAAGCTCAGGACCTCATATTTGTCACAGGGTCTACCGAGTCCGTGCTTTGACGTCGCTGGGAAATGCAGCTCCCGTTTGGACGTTCGGAAGCACCCAGATGAGTTCTCAGAATGCCTGTCTTTCAGTCCGTGAACTTTCTCAGGAGTGTCCTTTTTTGGGGCGGTTCCTTTTTTGTTTTGTTTTTAGTTCGGGAAACCAAAAGGACAACGCCTCCATTTGGAGGGTCCAAATCCTAAAAAATGACGCACTCACTTGGCCTTAGCCGTACTCCAATTCACGCAGATGCGCGCCGAATTTGGCCTCATACTTTTCATATTTGGCCCCGGTATTTCCCTTTTCAGGTTTTAGGTGAGTTGCCTTGATAGAGCTAGAGTGATCACACTTCGGGCCCTTCATGGACCGCTCCCGTTCTCAGTACTCATGGAAGTCCGCGGTGGGTTCCTTTCCTTTATGTTTTTTGTATTTTGGGGGGGTAAACCTCCTTGGACTCAACTACCCAAGAAAAGGTGGGCTTTGGGAAGTGGGTGTTTACCTGATGTTGGAACCATCCTCTTCGGGCCTCCTTTGGTTTCGTGGAAGTCAACCCTTTCGGGCACCGAATGAGCTGTCAATCTTTGCCATACCCCCATGACCAAGGGGTGCACGAACCCGTCGCGACTTGAAATGGGGGTGGCTCACTAAAATCCAATGTCATTGGGACACGAATATGGATGGTTCAAATTCGGCGGTCTGTCAAACTTGCCCGAGTAAATGAGGAACACACCAACACCCCGTGCCAGTTGGAATGTTCTGCGTCATTCTTACTGTGGCCTGTATGGGGAGTCTTGATCGTAGGTGACGCTGAAGTTCTTCTTCAGCGACGGCGGGAGTTGCTTGTCTTTACACAGATCCAGGGCTACTAGGGCTGAGAGGCAAGAGCAGATCCGCATAGTTTCCTAAGCATGGCTTTGTCGCGGATTGTTTTGTTTGTGTGTCTGTGCCATGTGTGCGTTTTGGAGGGCTACTTTGTTGTTGATTCCGCATTTGTCGGGATCCAACAAAAGTCAAACTTGAAACAAGAACAGCCCTCAGTCAAGCATACAAAGGTGGTTGCGAGTACACCTGAGCGGCGTTCTAAAACTCCTGCAATTGAAAGTAGAATTCGGGAGGAAGTACTGTTCTTTTAAGTTGTTGATTTTTCGTAGGTGGCGGAAGTGCCGCGAAAGTTTCGCGGAAGGTGTTTATCATTTATGTACGCGCGGAAGCTTCGTGGAAGGGCCGTGAAGATAAGGAATTGTTGTTTTCCTGCACCTGCGGAAGCGAAAACGAACTTCAATCCCATTTCTCAATGCGCGGAAGCGACGCAGAAGGAATTCCCTCTTGAAAACCTGTCGCGGGAGGAACCTTTCATGAATTTCATGCCGCGGAAGCCTTCGCGGAAGGGATTTGATATTTCTCTTCGGCCGCAACTGGGTTTAGACGCTACTCACCTGACTTAACCGGTGGATACTGGAGTTTTACTCAAGCACAATTGTCTATAGGGGCCCTTAATTTTGACGCAGACACCTTAAACGTCGGCCAGCATGAACCTGGGACTTGCATGTGGGCGTCAATCCTTCGAGGCTAAATCAGCCAAAGCAACTTTGGTAAAACAACACAAACGGGTTACTACCGTTCAGTGCAATATGGAGTTGTCGCTGTGGAAAGATCCCACTACGGGTTGGCCCTAATCCAAACAAGGCGCTGACCCGCGACGTACGGGTCTAATAGACTTCATGGCTTCGGCGAGCAAGGATTCCGCTTGAGCAAGGCTAGCCGATGGCTTGAAAGTTGCTAAGTGCTGTCAAGCGCCGCCAAGTGCACGCTGAGAAATAAGTGCCCCGGGAGAAATTATGCGGTGGTCGGCGAATTGTCCGCCCTCTCTTGCTAGCGGTTGGCATTGTGTGCCAAGAAATTGGGTGCTCAGTCTCAAGTGCTGCGTTTGTCCCAAAATGCGCGCGCCCCTGCCCGACAAAATGGCGGTTTGGCTTTGGTTGCTGTTTTTGAACACCAAACAAATGGTCCCCCCTCCTTTTCCGAAGGTCTCAGTTGCCCAGCGACACTCTTTCGAACTTTTCTCTGGTATGGGTTCCGTATTTATTTCCGCTTCTTTGCCAGTCATTCGTGGGTGGCGTTGGCCAGTTGCCGCCAGCTACTAACTTGGCGAATCAAGCAACATCCAACTAACACAACAATTGGGACACTGTGTCCTTTTCTTCGGAAGTTCTGTATCTATCCGCTTCTTGGCTTCCCGTTTTAGGTCGCTTTAGAATCAACCAACAAAATCCACTGGGCTTCCCAGAGGGTCCCCCTCTCAAAACATGCCTCTGTTTTTTTCCGACTGAGGCGTGTTCTACACCCGGGACTTCCAGGCGATCTTCTTCGACGTCTTCCCCAACTCTTTGAGCATGGTGGTGGACGGCTTCTTCTTCCTGATCCTGTGCTTCACAGGCGCCGCAGGGCCGGCCGCGAGAACTCGCTTCGTGGGGTTTCGGGTTTGTTGTGGGCGTGGGGCTGTGGGCCGGGGCCCCTGTTTTTCGAGAAGGCGCGCGCTCGGAGAGGAGGACGGACTCGCTTCTTGCGGGTTTTTGGGGTTTGTTGTGGGCGTTTCAGAAAGGCGGACCTAAGCTTATGGAACTTGTGGATGACGTGTAAGGAGGAAGGCCACAGGAAAAAACACCACGATGCTTCGCAAGCTTATTTCTTTGTCACTGGGTTTCCTTTTGGTTTCCGTCTTCACGAACACGACGGTTCGTCAGCTTCCAGGGCCATCCCTAAAGGCGGTCCAGATAGGCCGTGTCATCCCGTTCGGCCAACAAAAAATATGAAGGAGGACCTTCTTTGGGCCCATGGGGTTTTTGACCTTAGCCCTGAACTGCTTCTTTTTGACCTGGCCCGGTCCTGTGGGCTTCTAGAAGCCACAAAGCAGCTGTAAATCTTCATTACATGGTTGTTGTCGGGACACATTGTTTTACAGCTTATGGTGGTTTAGTGGTTGAGATCATTTCAACCACTCAGCTGCTGAGATTTTTATGTTCTTGCTCCCCACACCCAACGTCAACCATGAGCAAAGCTACAGAAGTGGGCTGAATCAGGAGATGGCGTCCGACGGAAAAGCAAAGCACCCCCTACTGTGTCCCTAACCAGAACTCCGAGCGGCTCCCGGCTCCGGGCCGATCCCGCATCAGGATGACCACCCCCCCCCAAAGCGCCCCTTTGAGAAACGCGAATCTGGGCAACTTCCAGCTCGCCGGTTTAGTTTGTGTTGCTCCTCCTTGCCGCGAAGAAACACGGTGCCAGCAGCACAACCGCCACTTCGCCCACTGGAAAAAAATGTTCCGCGGTTCCGAGTCATTGGACTCGGGGCAAAGTGCAGCGCTCCGAGGCCCCGAGGCTCAGTTCGGACCTCCCGAGAACTTGGAAGCCGCGACCTCCCGACAACCCGGAAGCTTCAGGGTGGGCGCGCTAAAAAAGAAAGACCTTCCCCCTCAACCCCCCTCCCCCCCCCCCAAAAAAAAAAAGAGAAGCAAGAACACCCAAGCGAGCACAGTACAAAAACCACAGCGGTTACAAGCTCACCTCTCACCTGGACATCCTGTTTCCAAATGGATTTTCACAAAAACCACCCAGGAGCCTACCGTCGCCGCTCTGGTGAGCCAACATGCCACTGAGGAAACAGAACAGAAAGGGTTACCTGAAAGCCGCTGTGGATGGACAAGATCCGTTCGCACCACCTAAGAAATCATGGTTGAAACCATAACTTTTGTTGGCATTTACAGGGGAATCATCATTCCATGCAGGATTTCGTCAGTACGCGTGTCTATGCCAAGGCCACAGTTCATTGGATTTCGGCCTAACCCTTAGTTGGTGGTTTGGATTGGTGGCTTGAATTTGGATTTGAACCCCTGGCTTTTGTAGAGGGTGAATTGGCCATGGGACATCCCAATCCCCACTAAAATAGGTTCCAAAATGGGTGGTGCACCTACCCCAAAATGGGATCCCATTGGTTTTGACTCACGGCCAATTGGGAGACCCCTTCTTAACCACCAAGCCGGGCTCCAAACCATCGCTGAGAAGCCTGATCGGAGTTCTGCAAGGACGCAGTAGTTGAAGGGAACCCTTTCTTTGGTTTGAAAGGGAAACCCAAAAGGGAAGCCCATGATTTTTGCGGGCTCCAACCCTTTTTTCCTTTTTTTAAGGGAAGCCCAAAAGGGAAGCCCATGATTTTTGCGGGCTCCAACCCCACTTTTTTTTTTAAAAGGGAAGCCCAAAAGGGAAGACGGTCCAAATCAAAAGAAAAAGACCGAGGTGCCCCATTCCGGTCGGCCTTCAGGTGTCCTGCAGGTGATCGTCATGTGGCGGATGCTTCGGGACAGAAAGGTGGTCACCTACATCGCGGACATCAGGATCCTCGGGTGTCCAAACAGCGGGGGAGTCGGTTCGGCCCGAGGCAACACCCCAGGCCTTTGGGAATATCGAACATATAGTTCAGGTTGTGGAATTCGGATAGAATTGATCAGGGTTGTGGGATCACTCGGGGTTTATCCCCACTTCTCTGATACCAGGGAATCCCCTCTTCAAATGGGGGGTTTGTCTTCAGGCGCTTTTTGTATCACAGAGGTGGATTCCATTTCCCACAGCCCTGGAGTTAATACGTTTTTATCTCTGGGTGTGGGTTATTTTGAGGGCACGCCTCGAGGAAAGCCGCCCAGTTTTTCGCGGTTCCCAATGGTCAGCACAGTTGGGTTGGTACGTGCCGCCCTTGATTGGTTTTGGATTTGAATTTGAAATGTCTGGCTCTTGTAGAAGGTATTTTTTCTGGTTTGGGATTTGTTTTTGAAATTTCTGGCTCTTGTGGAAGGTAAACTTTTTTTTTTTCTGGGGTTTTACATGGAACGAAAAGGACAACCACAATTTGTTGGGGGTCCCCCCAAACAGGACACACCCAATGGCCTTTTGCAATGACATATTCGTGTTTGCGGCCAAACTCTTTTGCCTCCATTTCCGGAAAGTTGCTGCATGCAGTTTGTGGTAGTTTGGCTTAAGCCAATATGGTTCTCCTGATTGCAAGGATTTGGGCTAGTTGGGTATTCCTTGCTTGAGGAAGATGAAGACTACTTGTTTGATGAGGTGGGTCTGCATTTTCTAGACTTGATGCGGGTTGATGTGTTGGGTGACGCAAAGCCAACAAACTTGCACACCAGTGCTGGTTTGTGGCGTGTGGCACAGTTCAGGTACTGTTTTGGTTTTGCCCTCCCGCTCCGCACAGACCCCGAGACCTGCGCTCCCATATACCAGCCTTTAGTCATCCCTACCCTGGACCAACCCTAGACATCCAGTCATGGTGTCCTGTTGATCGGTTAGTTTGATAAGATATAGATGGCACTGTTTTAGATTGGTTTTATTCCATTTACCGGGGCCACCCTTTTTCCAAAAGGACCCCTATGCATTCAGTCGTGCCTCTTTTTTCCTGGTTTCCCCTTGGCATCAATACCTGCCCTTTCTTCTGGAACATGTTATTTGGGAAACTCTCAACCGCGCCCGGTGAGTGCCTAACGGGGGACGAGTAAGTGAAAACAAACGCGTGTGCGCTTTCCTTCCGTCAAAGAAGCCGTATCTCCCAGGCCCAAGTCATGTTCTTGCAAGTGGCCCTCGCGGGTCGCTCATTTTTCGGGAGGTGTTTTCGGGGTCCAGCCAAACAGAACGCGCTTTGCTTTTTTTACAATGAGAAGGCATGGTTCAAGGGCCGGGGGGAATCCCACCCCACCCCTCCCCTCCCCTCCACTCCACTCCGCTCCGCTCCGCTCCGCTCCGCTCCGCTCCGCTCCGCTCCACTCCCCTCCCTCTCCACTCCCCGCTCCCCACTCCCTACTCTCCACTCCCTGCGATAGCAAGGGGACCTCCTTCAAAGTGACAAGGTAGCCAGGCGGAATAGGAATCAACCGCTTTGGTATCAGAGAAAGGATTCGTTCCCACATCGCGCGCCGACAGGACACTGCTGGAGTTGGTGGTGATTGCCGGAGGAATCTTCTTTTGCCTGGCACCTGGAGCTTTTGAGAGTGGCACGCTCCACTCCCTTTGGTCTCTCTCTCTCTCTCACTCACGAGCAACCGTCCATACTTTCCTGTACTGCAGTCAAGGAAATGACAATGGGCAGCACCAAGCTACCATCAGGAAATGTTGTAGATATAGTGATTAGTGACCAGTCGCTTGCATACTCAGGCATGCCCACCCGCCCACATACACAGACACACACCCACGCACCCATGCCCACAGGCCCACAGGCGCTTCCCCGCGCACGACGCATGCGCATCGCGCGCACACAGCCCCACAACCGCACGAGCATAAGACTGAGCGTACATATGAACCACAACGTGCAGAGAGCCAGAAGTATGTGCGCACGCACGCATTGAGAGAATCGCAGGTGGGCACAATCGTACACTCACACGCACGCTCACCTTGAAGATGACACTCACAATCACACCCACAATCAATCGCACTCAACCTCTGACATGATCTTACACATTTACAACTTGCACATGCAAAACAATTATCACCAGCATGCCATTGACCAGGTAGTATCTCTAACTTTCTAGGTCGGGGCAACCACTTTGATCCTCTGTGAAATGCGCACACCAACATAACTGGCGGTTTTGATCCCTGCACTGCCTCCTTGGTAATGTTGACTTGGGATGAGTCAGTGCACATCCCCCCATAGACCTGGATTTCATGAATCATGGGTTCGCACTATTGGCGTTTTGCAAGGCAACCTTTGGTCAGATGACGTAGAGGCGTCACGGAAATCCGACCAGACACCAAAGGGGTGCACCTTTCCTTTTGGAGGGTCTCCCCTTTAGCCTCAACCCAAAAACAGGGGTTTTCCCACACAAATCCACTAGAAAGATGGGTCAAGATGGGTCGTTTGTGCGACCTTTAGAGCAACTGTCTGGCTTCGCAACGAACAAGCCGTCCAGCACCCTGCAAAGATACCTCTGAAATTGGATCCATGCAACGTAAGGCCCTTCTTACTTCCTATTTGACTTGTATCATCATGGTTCAACCTGGTTTTTTCAGTACCCCACAACCACATTGACATGTTTTTTTTTTTTTTTGGGGGGGGGGGATCCCAACAAATAGGTTTTCCTGTCGGTTTCCCTTGTTCCACACATCCAAAAAGGGGTACCACCCAAAGAAGATCGAACCGCAATTTAATTTTTGCTTCGGCGCTAGGGGAAACCCGCGTCTAAAGCACACTGATGACGAGTGTGGTCACGAAAGAGGCTTTGCCACGGTGGATGCCCTAAGCAAGGCAAATTACGGTCTTCCCCCTTCCCCGCCTTTCCCCCCCCCTTTCCCCCCTTTCCCCGCCCTTTCCCCCCTTGCCCCCCTTTCCCCCCTTTGCCCCCCCCCCCTCCCAAGGTGTGTCGTGGTCAAAAGACGATTTTCTTGGGGGTTGGGGATTTGCGCTGCAACAGACCCCCAAGAATCTGTTAGTTGGTTTGGAGCCCGATGGAAACTGGGAATTTGGATTTGAACCCATGGTTCTTGTGGATAAATGGGAAACCGCCCCCAATTTGCAGACCTCGAAACCACCGGCTGCAACCGCCAGTTAGATGAGACTTGTTGTTTTTTCCCGACCAACGGACTCCATCCGTGAATTGTTTTTCCTTGGAGTCCTGTTTGGTGTGGGGTTATTGCCAGGTTCTTACCCAGATTCGAGCCAGCCGGAAACTCCGAGGCTACCAGTTCTACGCGGTGTACCGCACCAAGGCGGCGCTCGAGAATTTTTGTAGGGAACACTTTACATTTTACCAGTAGATATACCTTCTATACCTGGGCGTGTGGGTCAAAGTTTGTAACATTTTGTAGCTGGGGTAGACTTAGGATGCATTTTACATATTACAAGTAAATATACCTCAAACCCTCGTTATGAATCTGGACAACATCCAAAATGAAACCTGGAGGATGCAATTGTTTGGTGACTAGGAACCCTTTTTTTGTTTTGACCCCGGATTAATAAACCCCTGGTTGATTTATAGGGGGTGTCCCCTTTTAGTGGGGATTCATCACTTTTGGAGGGAACACACCCCTAATAATGGACGGGTGTATTAATCCTGGGTCAACATTGATTTGGGACACTCATCAACCAACCAGCGGTTTATCGGTTGAGCGTGAGCTCCTTCTCCCGGACTCAATTGGCACTCTGACTCGCGAGAAAAACAAACTTCAAGCGCGAGGCTCCGAACATGCGCCAAAAAACACGAGACGCATGCAGAATTCAGGGTTAGTGGAAATGGCGAAACCACAATCCGTTCATCGGGTTTGACAAATGCCCCGGGGCATTGACAGCTTCGAAGCATAGCCCGGCTCTGAACTTCCACCAAAGATATTTTTTGCTAGGGTCCTAATTCCAGCCTAGTGAAGGCTATGAATTCAAGCTGAGGGCCTCTTCCAGGTGACTAGCCTGAGTTGATCAAGTCTAGGTCCCCCAGCAGTGCCCTTTCTCACCCCTTTTTTGGGAGGAGATTCGGTTCCCGTACTGAAATAGACAAAACCGAAAAAAGTTGGTACCCTTATTCTAACCTCTCTACTGGCAGAAGGCCGATCCTGTAACATGGAACCACGTCTTCCAAAGGCCTGGAGGGTGCTTGAAAATCCGTAAAGCATGAGCCCTTTGACGGCTTCGACGAATCCAGCCTTTTTTTTGTTGGAGACGGTTCCCAGCCGTGCGGTTCCTTAGCTTGTTTGATATTTTTAGTTGGTGAAAGGCGGTTGGGTTTAGGATTTTAACCCACAAGTTAGACACTTTTAGCAGGGGATCAGATCTGCGGACCAGCCCAGGGTTTTGTTAGGAGGCGGTTCGGCTGACATTTTGTGCTAGATCCTCTTGTACGGGTGCCCGTATAGGCGCCGGGTCTCCATTCTGGGAATGGTCCATGAACACAGCAACGAGCTTTCTTGAATTGGAGAGGGGTACAACTTGCTGGTGCGATAGGTAGGGAATGACCGTCCCTGTTGGTAGGAATGAACCCAGTCCCTTAAAGGAAGCCATGAGCGATTGTTTCTCATTCCCGGCTGAGAACCAGCAAGGACAAGGGCCTGAACTATTTGAGAGGGTTTGTGGGGCACTATTGAACCAAGCTTCGTGATAGGTCAATTTTGACGTATGCAATCCTTCAGCACCTTGTATATCTCTTGCTGTGCGTAGGCCTGGGCAAGTAACGAGCTCACCGATCCCTAATCCCAGCAATTTCACCCAGAAAGACACGTTATCCGCGGCTTCTCGTTTCCGGTTTGAGAATTATTGCCATTTTTGCTCCCGGCAGTTTTTGGCCAAAGGCGAGCCATCAGCTGCTTTTTTTCGCAAACTTTTGCAGGCCTTGCCATTTTGCGGCTTGAGGCTCCGACAAGGGAGAACATGTGAACTTTGCTCTGGAAGCCCATGTAAATCAGGAATGGGGGAAATTGATTCATAGAGAGGATTCCTCGGATTGGTATGGACCTCCGGAATAATCCGAAGTGAGCATGACTTGGATCTTCCGAAGCCTTTGGTCGTTTTCCCCTTGCCCGATCGAAAGCCCCGGATCTGGCGTCAATGCGCCCTCCAAATACCTGGGGCTCCTATCTACTTGGAGAAGCACCGTTTCTCTTTTGTGTTTTTGCCTTTTTTCCCGAACACTTGAGCACCGGTGCGTTTTGTTGAGCACCAGAACAGTTCTTCGAACACCAAGCTGAATTTGCAACACACTTTCCTGTTTACGTAATATTTACGACATGCGAATGGTTCGTGAACGGTTTGCAAATGGTTCATGAACAGTTTGATCTTTTTGCGAACAGTATTTCCAACTCCGAATCTAGGCACGGCCATGAGTGATGCAAAAATAACGGATTACGCAAAATTGACGCGGTTGAGGGATTCCTGGCAAGCGATGTCGGCAACACAGCGTTCGGTCCGCTCCGCACGCTAGAACGGTTTTTGTAGCACCAGGGCTGAAATTTCGACACCAATGAGGCAAAACGATCCTTTGCCAGAAAAGCGATGAACAGTAGCCGTTTGTTGGGCAGGTAGGTTTCCTTTGCAGAACCCGGGCTTCCTTTCAATGCGAGTTGGGCGTTTTTTTTTTGAGGTTGCCCTAGCATTTTTTTTTTTTTTTTTTTAAGGAAAGCCAAAAGTAAAGCCAAAGCCATGTTGAGGGTTCCCTCATTTCAAGAGAAGTTACCATCATGAGTTTTGGGTTGTGCCCGGCACAGGGCCTGATGACGGACATCATGACGGACATCAGGGGCTACGGGTGGAACATCCGGGACGCCAACCAAGCTGTCGCGCGGCGTGAAATTTGGATGCGGCACTGAAAAAACGGGCCCGGGGCCCGAACCAGCTTGTTGGTCTCAGGTCCAGGGTACACTGAAGTGGTTTTATTCTTTTTACCTATTCCAACAAGGTGAACTCTAGGGTCCCCCAGAAAGGAGCATATGTGCTTGTTGTGCCTTCTATGACTCTAAGTAGGTTCTTCCTTCAGGGGTTCCAGGTTGCACCAGAGGACAATGTGTGTAGCATCGGAAAGGAACCCATTTGGGTATGGGTCAAAATTAAACCACCAGCGGACCGCAGGTTTTGGTCCCTG